GCAAAAAACTCATCACAGAGCTAGGCATATTACTAGCATTCAGTGGGCAGGAAACTGCTCTCTTCCAGCTTTCTCTGATCTTCTTAGGGGCCAAAGGAGAGAAATTGAGGAGATTAAGTGGGCAGGGGTACAAAGCTGCTTGTGCCAAATGGTGGAGGGTCTGTGATTTATAATGTCACAGAAGGCTATAATATATGTCACCAGTTAGAAAACATCTTTAGTCGTGACCCAAGCTGACCCATCTGCACATCAGCATTCATCACGTGCACGCTCTCTCTCTCTCTCCCTCTCCTCTTCAGTTAGGAGCTACAGTTCATATTTAATATCTGTTAAGAAAGAAACCAAACCTACTCTGGCAAAGATCTCCAGATTTAGCCATGTAGGTGCAACCTTGTTTGTTACCAGATTATTCCCAGATGAGCTATGGGGGAGATATTCAGGACTGTGAGTCTGGAACAGAAGCAGATTGGACAAGGGACAGTCCATTGCCTTCCAACTCCCAGATCCATCCTGCTCCCACTTAGCTATTCCGTGGAACAAATAAAGCAATTAGGAGCCACTCTCCCAACAAAGACTGGATGCATGTAGGTCCCCATATCTTCTTTTGCTTAAAAGAACAAATTCAAAAAGCTTTTCCCAAAGCGTGGGCTTTTTCTCATTGTCAGACCAGGGGCATTGATTGTGGTGGATTACACACCATGAGAAAGGCATTTCTTTTTGAGTTTTCTTTCAAGTCCTCCAAGAGAAAGCTTCATTTCAGTGCTAAACTGTCTTTAACACCCCTCTACCCTCAACTGATTTCTCTTTTGCAGGAAAAAGAGAGTGGACCCTTCCGCAGAGTCTTGGCAGGCAGTGTGCCTTAGTTCAAATTACATTGTTTTGTTTCTATAGCATTTGCATTTACAGTATGAAAATGTATGGAAGTGCTACTTTTCCACAGTACTACTTGTGGGAGTGATGTAAAGTGTTTTTTGTCATTTAAATCTCAAAAGGTGAGTTGACTTAAAGGAAACAAATCAATAAATAGTAATATAGGAAAACAAAAAAAAAGAAAATGGTAACTCTATAAGGAGATGGGTATGTTAATTAGCTTGATTGTGTGCTTAATTCACAATATATACAGATATCAAGACATCAAGTTGTACGCCTTAAATATATACAGTTTTTATTTGTTAATTATACCTCGGTAAAGCTAGAAAAATATAATAGGGCAGGAAGTCCACAGATGAGGCACGATCATAACAGTAGGGTTCACTGCTGGGGGACCCTCAAGTTGGAGAGAGTGGTGGAGAGTCTGGGCAGACCAGGGATTTAGCGACTCTCTTCCTCTCTCACTCTATCCCTAGGAGTACCCGCTGGCAGCCCTTGCAGGCACCGCCTGCCACTGTGGCTTTCCCACCACGAGATTCCCCCTCCACGAAAGAGAAGACGAACAGCTCTGTGCCCAGAAGTGCAGCGCAGAAGAGTTTGAGAGCTGCGGGACTCCCACTTACTTCATTGTGTACCAGACACAGGTCCAAGGTAAGCCAGGCCTCCCCCAGCAGACCCCCAGATGTTTCCCCAATGGCCTCGTTTCCAGAGGTTCCCTAGTCAGTCCACTCACACAGTCCATACTCTGCAGGGCAGAGGGCAGAGGGCAGAGGGCAGGGCTAGTGAACTTGGCCAGGCTTAAAGATCCTGGACAGGCAACAGGAGAGCCTCTGACAAGAGGCGTGGGTTCTAAAGACCCTCATCTCTATCCCTCATATTGAGGACCCACCCCGCTTGTGGCTCTTTCCTTGAAATAGTGGTGTTGAAATTGAGTGAGAGAACACCTGGGCTGGAAGTGGGAGACTTGGGTCTATAACACAGACCTACTGCATGATCCTGGACCAGTCACTTTTCCTTTCTGAGCCTCAGTTTCTCCATCTGTAAAATGCAGCTGTAAACTGTTGACCTCCAGAGGTCAATTCTAAGATTCGTCTTCTCCATCTCAGTAATCCTTGCCACTTCTACCACACTCATGGTTTATCTCTTCTTCTGTCTCTTGGGGCTACCAGATTGTGATAATTATTGTGGAGGGGTGGGGGTGGCAGCACTTAAGGTTTCTCAAGGACTTTCTTTGTGCTAGACTCACGTGGAGTCCTTTGTTTACATTTTCTCACTGAGTCCCTTCAGCTCTCCTTTGAGGGAGGCAGTCATTATGCCTACTTTCCAGATAGAGAATATGAGGCTCCAAACAGTGAAGGGATTTACCTGAGGTCACAGTGTTGATAAAATTTCTAGATGAAAATCTTTTCTCCTGATGGAGGCATCATAAAAGACGGGTGGCACTTGGAGAGGTGCCTTGCTAGGACACTCAGCCCAAAGGAAACCCTTGAAAGATTACCCAATATCTGAAAACACTGACCACTGACTATGCACCATTCTTATGCCAGGCTTCACCTCATTTAATAATGTAAAGCCTACAGTGAGCCTGTGATCAGGGCAATATAATCACCATTTTAGAGACAGGAGAAGCAAGACTCAGTGAGATTGGGAACTGGCCACAATTACACATCTACGAGAGTGATTTGCTTTCAGGTCTCTGACTCCAAAGCCCCTGCTAGAAACCTCTGTCCGCAGTGTAAAGAACACTTCCCAGACCCTCTGAACGTTGGAGAGCAAAGAAAACACCATTGGAACCAGGCTGTCATGTCAGGTTGAGCACTGGACAGGCACAACCATTTTCAGGAAAATTGGTGCCTAAAAGCCAGCCCATGTTCTGCCTGTCATACTGTGCACCCTGAATGGCAGCACATCTGCCCAGAGGAAGGGGAGAGTGCCTTATTCTGATCTTCACAAGATGCTGTAAGAGCTAGTGGCAGCCCCACCAATAGCCCATCCCCTGTTTGGCATGAAAGGAGTAACAGTGGTGGCCAATTGTTGCTGCTTCCTTGGCAGCTGAAGTCCTGCTAAGAGCCCAGTGTGTGGGTGCATGGTTTGCAAGTGCAGCCCTTGACTCTGTTTACATTCCAGTGAGGAAGGATGAGCGTTTGTTAGTTTTCAAGATGTGTTAGTCTGTGCAGAACTGTGTTGTTCCAGCCTCGGGGAAGAGTTATGCACAGATTAATTATCCCATGACCATGAACAGCTTTGATGTAGGCAGAATGGACACTGGAGCCTTTTTAATAGCTGACAAAGAGCCCCTGATTGATGAGTTTGCTCATTCCCAGTACCCTGCCCCTAGGCCATTACTGCTCATCAGTTTTTCCATGTCATGCCTATAGTCCCTACGCACTGGGGATTTTTGAGAGTCATGTAGTTCATCAGGCTGCCAAGAGCCTGATCTTTTATGGCTGCCATTTATTAAGCACCTACTATGCACTAAGCCCTGATGGTCTTGCCAGGAACTAAATAATTATTGAGCACTAACTGTGTGCCAGGTACTGTCTAAACTCTTTAGACTAGATTAACTCATCTAATCTTCACAATAGCCCAATGACAGAGGTGTTGTTGTTATTACCATTTTACAAATGAGGCTACTTGGTACAGAGAGGTTGAGTAGCTCAGCCAGAGTCACATAGCTTGGGTAGGACATGGCTGGGATTCAAACCCAGGTAGTCTGGGGTCCTGAGACTGCACTCTTAACTGGTTTTTTAATATATACCACAAATACCTTACATGCATTACCCATTTAATCCTGTAAGGTTTTAGCCCAATTTTACAGGTGAGGAAGCAGGCTCAGAGAGGTGAAGTGCCTTGTTCAATGTCACACAGCTAAGCCATGACAATCCTGGATTGAAACCCAGGTCAGTCTGATTCCAAAGCTATACACAATACTGGCTCCAGCATCTACTTTTATTTGCGGAACTTAAGAGACAAATAAACTTTCTTTCTAGTGCTGAAAACATCCAGCCTCTACCTAGGAGTTGGTCTTGGCCTCCCAGGCAGTATTGGAATGAAGAATTCTGTTTTCTGGGGAAGCTGAGGGGCTAGATTCTTTCTCTCTCCCAACATCTTATTATGAAAAAATAGGAAACCTCCAGAAAATTTTGAAAGCATTACACAGTGAACACCCATATACTCATCCCATAGATTTTACATTTCTCAACTTTTTTTTATGTTTACTTTATCATACATTTCTCCATTCTTATTTTTGATGCATTTCAAAGTAAGTTGCAAACATCATTGAGTTAATCTAGTCAAAGTAAGTGTGCATATAATTAATTACGATTCAGTATTTGCTTATGATTTTTCAAAGTAACATTTACATAGAGCAGAATACATAAATTTTAAGGGTACTGGGTCATTCACACCCCTATCAAAATAGAAAACGTAACCATACTCTAGAAAGTTTTACATTTAGGCTCCTTTTTGCAGTGTGTTCCCATGAACATCATTGCTATACACCAGTTAGCTTCAATAAAGACAAAGACTGGTTAATTTTTTCAAAGGCTGCTCTTCCCTGAACAAACAGATTAAACATTGCATAGTGGGAGGAGAGCTAGGTCTCTGGCTGGTAGCCACAGTTGATTGGCACTCACAGGGTGTGAGCCCTGTGCTAACATTCAACACACATTCTCGCGATTAACCCTCCTAACCACCCTGGGATGTGATTGCTGTCAATAGTCCCATTTTACAGGTGAGGAAACTGAGGCTCAGATCTATTATCTTCCAAGGTCACGCAGCAAGTAGTTGACAGAATTGGAATTTAAATCTAGGAGTTCACACTTCTTCTCTGAAAGACTGTTTTAAGAAATCGGTGTAATCAAAGTAAGATTTCATTAACGAAAGATGATGGAGAATAGAAAATACTGGGGTCCAATCTTGCAAGGAATTATAAGAAAGGCAGAGTGATGGGTAGTATCAGATGTTGCTGTGTAGTCCAGTGAGGTGAGGCTGGATTGATCACTGGGTGGTCACTGGCGACTTCAGAAGGAACTGGTTTCATGCAGTGAGCAAGGAGGAGCCCAGAGTCGCAGGGGTTGGAAGCAAGGAGGAGAAAATGGATTAGGGGGTGTGGACAGCTCTGCCAGAAGTATGACTGGGAATGGGGTAAGAAGAGATAGTGGGTGGTTGGAGGGGGGTTTTTTAAAAGATAGAGCTATTTGCTCATGTTCGAATGCTCATGTGAAGGAGCCAACCGAGAGAGAGAAGATACAGGGGAATAGATGAAGCAAGGAGATTGGAGAGGAAATAGGAGATGGAGTGGAGACACTAAAGCAGAGGTTGATCCTCTCTGCCATGGAAATAGCAGGGAAGGAGGAGAGGGTGGAATGTGGAGCAGTCTAGTGAGCTCAAAGGACAGGGCAGACGGAAGAGGTTTGCCAGCTTTCCCTTTGTGGTAAATAAGGATGGAGGTCATTGGCCCAGATGAAGAAGCATGGCTGGGACCAAAACTCCAGGATTCTCTCTTCATCCTTTTCCGCTGTGAAGTCCCCTATACTGGGCCTCCCCTCAGCTTCCCTTATATCTTTAAGGACCAAAAGAAATCACCACTGTGCCGTCATAGCTCCAGGAGGAGTTCTAGTGGGGGTTGCTGAGGCACATACTGTTCATGAGTAGTAGCATCCTGAGGTTGCTGTAAAGGCAGAGAATCAAGAGTATCAGGATGGTACTCACCTGCCCCAATGCATTTTACAGATGTGGAAGTTGAGGGCTAGAGAAAAATAATAACTACCCCTTTTGAGCACTTTAGTGTGTTAATATATTACATACATTATTTCATTTAATCCTTACAAAAGCCCTACAAAGTAGATATTACTGTTATCCACCTAGTCATTCAACCACCAGTGTATCAATCTATCCACCCATCTGTCACCCACCCATTTGTCACCCACTCATTCATCTGCTCACTCATCTACCCATCCATCCATCTGTCCCTCCATCCATGCAAGTAACATTTATTATCCCTGCTACATGCCAGATATTATGGAAAACACTGGGAAATCATCGAAGAACAATATGGGCAGGGTTTCTGACTAAACAAATAATTTATTGAATTACAGTTGTGCTAAGCGACATGAAGGAGATGGACATAGTACACTAATGATAGACCAGGTAGTCAGGGAAGGAAGAAGGTACCAATTCAGCAGAATGTGGAAAGATAAGAAGCAGCCTACCTGGAAATGGCAGGTAGGAGGCAACGAAGACTAAGGGAAAAGCATGTCTGAAGATGCCGAGTTGGGAAGGAATAGGGCACAGATGAGGTAGCTGGCAGGTGCGGGGTGAGAGGGAGCGAGTGGGTGGGATGAGCCTGGGAGGATGCAAGGGCCAGGCTACACAGGGCTGGGAAGCTAAGATAGGAACCTTGGACTGGATCTCATGTAGATGAACATCATTTGAGAGGTTTAATCTGGAGAGTATGAGAAAGGAACTGAGTGCCAGGGGAAACTGAGGCCGTAAAGACTCATCCTCTTAGCTGACTTTTATTAAATCCCTAATATGGGCTCATCCCTTTTTGTACATTATCTCATTTAACCCTCACATCAACTCCATGAGGGAGGAACCATTTCCTCTGTTTTACAGGTGGGGAAACTGAGGCCCAGAAGGGATTTCATCATGTGAACTGGGTCGCATGGCTGGGCAGTGGCAGGGGTGGTGCTCACACCCAAGCTCCACCTGTCCCTGCCCCCTGTTTGTGTCCTGAACTTTGCAGATAACCGCTGCATGGACAGAAGATTTCTCCCAGCCAAGTCCAAGCAGCTCATCGCTCTGGCCAGCTTCCCAGGTGCTGGCAACACGTGGGCTCGCCACCTCATCGAGCTGGCTACTGGCTTCTACACTGGCAGCTACTACTTTGACGGTTCTCTCTACAACAAAGGTGAGGAGGCATAGGGAGCAGAATGGACCCACTAGGAGGACATGGGAATACCCTTCCTGAGCACCTACTATGTGCCACCAAGCTTACCTGGGCATGTTTATTAAGACCTACTAAGTGTTTGATACCTTCGCTTATATCCCAGCATCATGTCCTGGGTACATCACCTACATCTGTTCAATAATAGACATTTATCAAACACCTACTGTGCACTTGGTACCCCCCCTCCACTTAAATCACCACAAATGTTCCTTGAGCACCCACTGTGTGCAGGTACCTTACCACAGACATTTGCTGACCAGTAACTTTATGTTGTACACAGAGGTCAAATAACTATGTTTACTTTGGGGACATTTATTGAGTATCTACTACTATTCGCCAGATATCTTATCTACATTTACGTCAGTGATAATCGTGCAGGTGCTTTATTTTCACTCCATTTCATAGATGTTTACTGAGCACTGCTATGTTTTGTTGCACTTCCTAAGCTTGATTTCCCAATAGGCATTTATGAAGTGCCAACTGTGTGCCAGGCACTTCGTGTCGTTTTCGATTGCCACAGATATTCTCTTGGCCACCAACTAGGTTACAAGAGCTGTGTCAGGTGCTCCATTTTTATGTAACTCTGCACAGTAAACTTAGAAGGCAGGATGATGGTACCATTTCCCAGATATGAAAACTGAGGCTTAGAGAGGAGAAGTCACTTGTGCAGAGAGTCACACAGATCTTTTTCAGTGGGCTGATTGGGGATTGCACCCTAGCGTTTGCTGGTTTCAAAGTCCTCGCTCTTATTGCTCCACCACACAGGCAAGAAACTCCTGGGGTTTCTTACTGCAGAACTGTAAATCTTGGATGAAATGTCCATGGAGTGTGAAGCCCTCTTCCCGGCATGGCAGGGGATATCAGGGAAGAAGGAGCACTGCCTGGGAGGAGTTTGAGTCTCCATGTGGAGCAATTCTTGACTGTGGGTCTTTGTGTCTGCAAACCAGATGATGACCACTTTTCAGCTGTGTGACTTCAAGCAAGTTACTATACCTCTCTGACCCTGTGTCATCATGCACAAATTAAAGATAACAGTATGTACCTGGTTGAGGTTGTTGTGAGGACTAATGAGTTGATACATGCTTAGCACATAGTAAGTGTTCAATAAATGTAGGCTGCGAATACTATGGTCTGGGTGCCAGGCACCGGCCAGGAGAAGTTTGGTGTTGACAGAGAGACATCCCTGATCAGGAAAAGACAAGAATGGTGAACTTGGACAGGTCAAAGGATGGAGTTGGCGAGCCTTAGAGTTTTGACTTTTGTATGTTTATTAATTTTTAGTTTTGGCTTAAGCAATCATTTGTTGAATGCCTGTTGTACAGGAGGCTCCAGCTGACACTTTTATGTGCTTATACCAGGATTTGAACCCAGGCCTAAGCTGTCACCAGCACCTCTGCTCTTAACCACTAAGCCGTGCTGGCTCTATGGGAACTGCTGGAAGGAGCCCAAGTACATTCCAGAATGTCTCTGGCATGTCCTGGGGAAGCGGCTGAGGAAGCAGGCTCAGAAAGCATCCTGTGGCTGATCCACGTTCTAACCTTCCTGGCTGTGGCAGCACCCCTGCTCATGGAACCCTAGAATGTCACACATAGAAAGGTCCTTGAGGATCATTTAGTTCAGTAGTTAGGTCTCATGTGTCAGTTCCAATGAATCCCTGCTTTAGGATGATGTGTTAAGAAGGATTTTCAGGTTCTGTTCTCCCTTTGGAACAAAGTGCCTTAAATCTAGTAGTGATGCCTGTGGAGGGTGTAGAAGGGGGAATGGTGGTCTACGTGCCAGGTCTTTGCCGTCTCTGATCTAACTCAACCTCCTAACTTCAGAGAAAGGGACACTGAATCTCAAGATGGAATTTTCAGTCTGAACTTTGTTACTTACCAGCCATGGGAACTTAGGCAAGATTCTTCACCTCTCTGAGCTTCAGTTTCCTCGTCTATAATATGGGGACGTCAATACCGAACTCAGAGAGATTTCGGGAAAACATAGTAAGATAACGTGTGTGAGATAGTGTTTGATTCTGTGGAACAAAACATACATTATTTTTTAAATGACATGTAGCCAGGACAGTCAACTATTTTGTCAAAGTCAAAGGCGTTTGGTCTCTGGCCACCCATCAGAATCACCCAAGGAGTCTGTAAAGCCCTGAGGCCTGGGCTTCCCCGATACCATTTCCATCAGAATCTTGGGAGTGGCCAGGGCATCGGTATTTTTAAGAGCTCCCAGGTGATCAGCCCAAGAAGATCTCGATGCAAAGTCTAAGTGAGACCCCTGGCCCTAGACTAGGAGCCCAGTAGTCTCGCTTCCAGACCCACGACATTCAAAAAACTGGTCTTTATCCTATATTTTCTATACGCAAGTCTTGGGGAATATCAAGAGTTGATAATTAATGGAATGAGGTGTTTGCTAAAATTTGAACAAGGGATGGGAGAAGAGAAGGAAGAAAGAAAGAAAAAGAAAGAAAGAGAGAGAGAGAGAGGAAGGAAGGAAGGAAGGATGGAAGGAAGGAAGGAAGGAAGGAAGGAAGTCGATCATGGAAATTTCACTAGATGTTTGATGACATTAAGGAATTACCGTTAATAGCTTTTGGTCGATTATAGTATTTTGTTTATTTTCTTAACGAAAGGGTCATGTTATAATATTTCCAGTTAAAATAAGAGAATATCTGAGATGGGCTTCAACATCACCCTGTGGGGAAGAAACCGGCCTGCGTTCGTACCTGCTGAAGCTGCGTGTTGAGTACCTGGAGCCTCGTTTAGTAGTCTCTCAACTTATCTGTGCATGAGTTTGAAAATTTCTATCATAGAACTTTTATAAAAAAAAA